TTTTTTTAAGAATTTATTTATTTATTTGACAGAGAGAGAGACACAGCGAGAGAGGGAACACAAGCAGGGGGAGTGGGAGAGGGAGAAACAGGCTTCTCGCAGAGCAGGGAGCCCGGTGCAGGGCTCGATCCCAGGACCCCAGGATCACGACCCGAGCCGAAGGCAGACGCTTAACGACTGAGCCACCCAGGCGCCCTCCCCCACCGTGTTTCTTACCCCCAAATCCCTTCCCCATCTAGAGCATTCTCAAAGAATGTAGACCAAATCACATCACACCCAGCTGAGAGGGTTCCCCCCCGCCCGCCTCAGAGCCACAGCCAAGGTCATCCCTGTGGCAGAGATGGGGTCCTCCCTTCTACCCCAGCACCCTCCATGGTGGCTCGCTCACTCCATACCCACCTGGAGGCCTTGGGCCAGGTTCTAGAACACACACAGCCAGCTCCCACCCAGTGCCTTGGAGAAATCCCTCCGAGTCAGTTGGGATCATTCCCATTCATTCTTGTTAAATGACAGTATAATGGTCCAAGGTGTGGACCATACCAGAATTCAAAGACACCCTCTTGATAAATGTTCACGCTGTGTCCAGATGTTTTGCTGTGATGAACAGGAAACGGAATTTTAACCCAGAACCATGAGAACCATCAGAACCATCTGGGAAGTCTTACAACATCCAGATAGCTATAGGCCCAGGGATTTGGCTCAGGAGGCCTGGCCGGATGGGTGGGGGTGCCCAAACATCTGTATTTTTTTTTTTAAGATTTTTATTTATTTATTGAGAGAGAGAGAATGGTAGAGAGAGAGCATGAGAGGGAAGAAGGTCAGAGGGAGAGGCAGACTCCCTGCCGAGCAGGGAGCCCGATGCGGGACTCGATCCCGGGACTCCAGGATCATGACCTGAGCCGAAGGCAGTCGCCCAACCAACTGAGCCACCCAGGCGCCCCAAACATCTGTATTTTTAATGACTCTCCCAGGAAATCTTGTGTGTGCTCTAAGAACCACTGGCCCCATAAGAAAACTTGAACATAGCAGCAACCGTCTGGCTTTTGGAGGTGCCACCACCACCTGAGTGGCGTGGGATCCCAGGCCCCCCAAACTTGCTGATTCTAGGCGGTGGACAAGAGTACTGGGTGGGAGGGGAGGGGCAGAGAGGCTTAGGAAGGCGATACGGCCTGGGTCACTGATGCTCTACCCTAGCTGCTCATCAGAATCACCGCGCAGCTCTGTGCCACATCCCAACGTCCAGACAGACCCTCCCAGTGTGGAGACTTCGCCCCCAGCAGATTGCAGGAATGAGGGGCTCTCCACACAGCAGGGGCCTGAGGAGAGCCTGGGGAGGTTATACAACAACAGGCAACATTCACTGAGCGCTTAGTACGTGCTAGGCACCTCTCACGAAAACCACGTGTAAACTCTATGAGGTGGGCACAATTATTATGCCCATTTCACAGAGGAGAAAACAGACCCAGAGAGGTTCAGAGCTGAGAAGTACCAGTTCGGCATCGGATTGCCCGTCTCGAAGGCACGTGGCCTTTCCACTGTGCCGTGCTGCTCTGCCCGGGGGCTGGGGTGTGAGGACACTCTACCCCGTCCTGCCCGCCCCCAAGTCAAACCCTACAGAAGGGGAGAGGGGAAAGGGAAGGGGCAGTGTGCTCCGAGGTGGGCACGGTAGGGCTCTGGGAAAAGCGGCCTCCTCCTCGTTCACCCCACTCCGCACCCCTAGCCCGTCCCGGTCTTCTTTTCGTCCCATTATTGCCACAGCTGCTCCCCTACCTCTGGGCTTCCTCCTGCGCCCTCGCCTGGAAGCCTGTCCCCTCGCTGGCCCAGCCGTGAGATTCTTCAGTCTCAGCCCAAATATCCCTGCTGCTGGGCGGAGTCTGTCACCGGCTAAAGCAGGCCCCACCCCTAGTCCCTGCTCCTCGTGCCCTGCTTCATGGCACTCCTCACAGTTTCTAGTGATCTGGTCTCTTTACTTGCTACCTCCCTAGATATAAACTGAGGTTAGAGATTTTCCCCGGCAAACAGCAGATGCTCGTTGACTAGATTTTGAAGGGATGAAGAATACACGAGGGTGCTGGAAAAGCTTTCGCTGGCGTATAAATAGCTGGCCCAACCTAGCAGCCACCTCCAGCCTCCCTTAGGACACCCATCCTAACCTTCCCAGGGTCAAGGCTGACCTCTGTGTCAGAGAAACCATAGTGTATTGTGGGGGAGCGGGGCTTCCCCCATGAGAACCTAGCCCTCATCCTGGTCCTCCTAGGGGTCTCCAGGGCTGAGAGCCAGGCCCTGGAAGGGAGCACCCAATGCAGCCCCAGGCCTCAGGTTTGATGAAGAAACCCCCAATGTTCTTAAGAGCCACCAGCCTGAACTCATGGGATCCCAGGTCTCAGCCTCATGTTACCAGGGGTCCAGGACCAACTACTAGTCCTGGAGAGAGGGTCCACCAATGGCATCTTTCTCCTGCTGACCCCGTGATACTCATCAAAGAGCAGAGCTGGATTTCAGAGGGGACATGTGTGCTCCAGCTCGTGGAGACCAGGAAGCCCAGTCGGGGAGCCTGGCTGGCCACAGTAGGCAGACTAATGCTCCCTCCGCCCCCAGAACCTGCGACTATGTTATCTCACGTGGACAAGGGGAATCAAGGTTGCAGGTGGAATTGAGTTTATCAATCAGCTGACCCAGAGATGGCCGGTTAGCCTGGCTTATCCAGGTGGGCCCGATGTAATCACAAGGGTCCTTATAAGTGGAAGAGGCAGGCAGAGGAGTCAGAGGAGTAGTTGGGGATGTCCCATTGCCGGCTCTGGAGACGGAGGAAGAGGAGGTTACTGGCCAAGAAATGCGGGTGGTCTCTAGAAGCTGGAAAGGCGAGAGGGCAGATTCTCCCCTAAAGCCTTCAGAAGAAACACAGCTCTTCTGACACCTTGACGTTAGCCTAGTGAGACCCATTTCAGACTTCAGATCTCCAGACTGTAAGATAAACTCGTGTTGTTTTAAGCCACTACGCTTCTGGTAATTCGGGACAGCAGCGGTGAGCAACAAATACGCCGGCTCTATCCTTCCCTGTGTGGACAGGCGAGCGCCATGGGAGGTGGCCCAAATGAGAGCTTCTTTTGCTTCCTCTCTGCATGGAGGTCAGGTTCCTGGGGCTGTTCAGCAGTGCAACCCACACCAGCCTAAAGCACAGGAGGCAAACTGGAAAGCGAGAAGTTTCCAGGGCTTTATGTTGGGACCAGCCGGAAGGCATCGGGTGGGGAGGGGTGGGGGCAGGGTGGTTGGAGAGAAAAGCCTGCTTGCAAACTCATCCCAGTTCTCTTGGTTTTCAGCACTTGGCTTCTAGAAAGTCATATGCCCCACCACAAACCCTTTTAAAAAATAGGATTAAAAAAAAAAAGAAAAAAGGATCTTCTCAGCTTCATTATTTGGACCAGCTTCCCTAGGAGGTGGGCTTATTCTGATGAAATCTGGCCACGTAGGGGCATTGGGAGTCTGGTCCAGAGAATCTAAGTAAATCGTGGTGAAGAGGCGGCTTGGGGGAGAGGCTGTAGCACCTGCTCTAACCACCTGGAAGCAACCCAGTCCTGGGGCCAGCCTGAGTGTGTTTCTGTTTTGCACCTTGGTGGGAGGTTGGAAGGATTCTGAGCAGAGGGCGTGATTTCCTGAGGCTCCGAAGCAAGCCAGTCTGGCCTTTTATGGGGTGCCCTTGGCCTCCCATGGGCAGGAAGGAGGATGCTGAGAAGGGTACACAGTGCCCCACGCTCCACACACTTTGGCTTCCCCCATTGCCACACTCATGATGCAACCTTCCGGCCACAGCCCAGACCCTCGTCCTGTTGCACTCACTTGGCCCTGGTGGCCTGGCCCTTGACCCTTGGTTTTGCATGTATGTGGCTGTATCACCGCAACTGTCCATGGCAGCCCTAACTCATCCTGTGGTCAACGCAGAACAACCTCACCATCTTACCAAAATTTGGGCCTGTCTGCCCCCAATTCTTCACATGCTTCAGCTGCAAACCACTCCTCTGTTCTGTCATGTTCTAATCCCAAAGCAGGGCCAGAATTAGACCCAAACCATTCGTGTTGCTGTAGATTTATTAGCCAGTGATAGAAAACAAGCTGGACCCATACAGAACACATATGTAACTGGCACACATCTGGAGGAAACCTCCCACCCCTCGCCCCTTCCCCTGGCACTCAGAACAGTTCATTCCCAGAGTTGGCCCACTGTGAGCTGTCTCGGTGGATCTGCCCCTCTGGGCCCCCTCTCCTGAGGCATAGCAGGACATGGAAATGTTGCCCAGAGGGCAACAGAAAGTCTAGGACTGATTTTCCCCTCCTGCAGAGAGAGGTCTGAGGCCAAGGAAGCATCCTATGCATTATGAAGAACATCTTTTACCCTTGCACCTACAGCCTTCCCAAAATCCAAGAATTCCCCACATACTTTCATCTCTAGGAAATTCCTGGAGGGTTTTGGACAAAGCCAGATTTCTGAATGTCAGATGACGGGGCATTTATAAGGCTAAGGACCAACAGTCATTCCTTTAACACACATCTAGAAAGGACCAACTATGTGAAAGTTCATGCTGGGCACTGGGTAGGGTAGAGAGTTCAGCATCTGGTCAGAAGCTTGACAGGTAGGCTGATGATCCAACCTTGATCTACAGGGACCACACCTCCTTCCCCCTGGTGGAAGCTATGCGTAGACTCTCTCCTGGGTAGAGGGATCTGACTTTAAGGCTGTTCCCCTGCAGAGTGAGAGGCAATCAGACCCAAGCAGAATTGTGGGTCCTTCCTCCATTAGGACACACAGGCCAAGATGGCAGATGAGACGCACGGTTGTTTCTAGACCCCAAAGTAAATTCAATCCCAAACAGAGGATTTGGGGATGGGAAGGGGGGAGTTTGGAGGAATCCCCATGGGTCATGTTGATCCTTACGAGAGGCCACAAGAAGTGAGGTCTTTCTTCTTGGGAGGCCAACAAGAATCAAGTCTGAAAACCAAATGGGTTGCAAGTGAGATATGAACACTTCTAGGGAAAAGGCTTCTGAGAGAGACAGTCACCCTCGATGTGCTATCTGGAACTTTGGGGTCTCTTGATGCTTATTGTTCAGGGTCGGCCCATGTCCCATCCCAGGGGGAGAGGATGAGGGGGACCGGCTCAGGGCACCATGTTCCACCACTTGAAGGAGAACGGCTGCCGGCGCACGTTGGTGCCACAGTGCACCTCCCCATGCAGCATGTGGTACGGGGTGAAGTCGTCGATGAAGGTGCAGTGGAGGCCCAGCGGCTCCAGCAGGGACCGCACCTTCTCCTCCAGGCAGCAGTGGCCGTTGATGATGGGTCCGAAGGGCTTGGGGATGCCCAGGTGCTTCCCCAGCACCAGCATGTTCACCTGCAAAGAAGCGGGGTCCCAGCTCAGGGGCAGCACTTCATCATCAGCTCCGCTTCAACACCTACACCACACCTGGCAGGGCCTGAGTCCGTCTTGCGGGCAGCCCTGAAAACAGCTCCTCATACTTGCACGCAGGGGGAGAGGCACCTGGACTGGTGAGACTCTAGCCAGCTGTGCCATCCCATGGGAGCAACCACAGAGCTCCTAGGGACAGCTAATTTCTCTGGTGACGACCCACCTTACGGCCGGACTTCGGTGGCTGCCATGTTTGTGCTGCAGAAGCCCAACTTCCTAGGTTGTAGCTGATTGGACCAGCGCAGACATCTGACCCAAGCTGGACCAATCAGATTCTCTCTCTCTGCAGTATTGGCAGTTGACAGAGGGGGCCGGTCCAGTGGATCTCGGCCTGTGTCTGTATGTGTGGGGGGCTATGCTACATTAAACCTCCTGCTCGGGCTAAAGCCGGCTCAGGTGGCCCTGTTTTCTGCAAACACTGGAGGCACTTACATAACTGCAGCTCCGCCTAAAAATGCAGGAAGGAAGGGGAAATCGAGTTTTTCAAATGGGGAAATCAAGGAGGACAAAAGGGGAAGGGAAATGGGGGGATGAAACAATGGTGGGTGTGGACAGGCCCCTTTTAAGGCTCTTAAAATGGGCCAGTTGAGTTCCTCTGGGGGGTGGAGGTGAAGAGGGGCTGGAGGAGGGGAAGGGTGGGGAGGAGAGTTGGGTCATCTACGGTAGTGCTACTCAAAGTGTAGTCCTCGGAGAGCAGCCTCTGCGCCACCTGCTGAATCAGAACCCATGGGATGGGGCCCCAGCAGTCCAGATGTCCCAGACGCAAAGCCCTCAGGCCTCAACCAAAGGCCACCTCTTCCACGAAACCTTCTTGGATCTCCAGTCCTACCTCTCAGGCTGGAAGTGCTTTACCCCACCTCTCAACTAGCACATGACTTTATTATACGAAAGAGACCCTTGAGTGGGACACACCCTAAGGGAGGTGAAGAGAGTTTCCCTCCCACTAGATTAGAGTGGAAACTCCTTGAAAGCAGGGAGCAGCCTTAATCGTTTCTCTGACAGTGTACCCTGAATATATGGGGGATGGGCGAACAGCTTTGAGCTGCGACAGAGGGAGCACAAGGGGTGTCTGAGCTCCCAGCTGATACTGCATGCTGTGCACACATGACCTTATGTGATCATTGCTTCACCCCACAAATATCAAGTGGGTCCCTGGGGGAAGGGAAGGGCCCTTCCCTGATGGCCCTGGAGTAAGGGGTTTGGCCAATGAGCTTTCTGTAGTGACCAGGACAGTCAGCCAACTAGAAGCCCGACTGCTGGCCATCATGGGACCCCTGATTCTCTCTGCCACCCCCACCAGCCACCACAATCCCAAACATGGCAGTGACCAAACGTCTTGCCCTGCTAGGGAGCAAAAGCTTGGAGCCTAATTTGACGAAATGGATTTAAGTCACGAAAGGTGGCCTCACCAAATCAGGGAAGAAGGCCACCGCCTTTCTCCTCTCAGTCTTGAAGAGCTGGGGGATGTCGATGATGTCCCGCTCAGTCAAGCCCAGCTCCCGCTTCAGCACCTCCCGGTTCCAGTCGATGCAGCTCTAGGGGGGTGGGTTGAGTTGGAGAGACCTTCCCAGTGGATTTTGGGGCGACCCAGGAGGTCATGGCTAGTTAAGGAGACAGGCTGCCCAACTGCCCATGGACCAACTCGGCACACAAACCTTAACCTCTGTGTCCCTTTGTCAAAACACACCTGTTCTGGGTCCCACCTCTCACAGTCCTATACCACTAACTGGGCTAGTTCCAGAGTGTTCCACAGCATTCTGTTTTTGTGAGTGTTCCAGAATGTTCCATCTTTTGCCCTCTTCCCTTCTTCACATCCTTCACGCCTTAGGGGGCTCTCCTTGAGTCTCATGGTTTAAAACACCACCTACACACAGACAACTCCCACATTTCTATTTCCCAACTGCTTTATAGACCCACCCTCTTTCCTGATCTCAGATTTGCACATACAACCACCGCTTTGCATCTTCACCTGGATGGCTAATTGGCACATCAGATATAACACGTCCAAAGACAAACTCTTCATTTCTACATGCGCCACGCCCCCCCACCCCCAGCCTGGTTGACAACTTCGTAACCAGTCTCCTTGCTTCTTCTGCTTTCATGCCCTGTGGCAGCCAGCATCACGTTCCTCACAGAACTCCAGCTATGGGGGTAGACTCGACCAAGGGCCTTGCTGCCTGGCCCTGGCTCTGAAATCCCAGGGCCACACCTTCCAGTTGCTAAGAGCCAAAGGTGAGTGCAACAGGGATACTAAGGCAGACCTATGGCCATCTTTGGCTTGCAGAATCTCCCACGGCCTTGCTGAACCTGAGACTGCATGGTGGTATAGGATGCTTCCCTCAGCCTTCCTTCCCTCTCACCCACTGAGGGTCTGCTCTCCCAGTTCCCTCCAGTTCCCCTCCTCTTCCTCACAGCTTCCCTGATGGGGCATGAGCACTGGACCGGGAGTCTGGAGCCCTACCTTCTAGTCCCTTCTCTTCTGGGCCTCAGTTTCCCTGGAGTGAAGTGAGGCATGGGTTCAGGCACCTCTAACTTTCACTCATCAGGAGCGTTTACACACACTGACTCCTTTAATCTTCTCCACTTTATAGACAGAGACACAGAGGCAGAGGGAGGCCAGGTGTCTCCCTCAAGGTCACACACCTAGTGGGTGGTAGGGCTGGGATGTGAACCCAGCCTGCCGGGGCCCAGCACCCACAGCCCACAGGCTTAACCCCCTCACCTCAGCTCCAAGGTGTTGCCCCTCCAGATCAAGAACCTTCGCTGGCTCCCCATCACAGCCCGAGTTTACCCTTGACCTCCTAAGGCTCCCCTGTGCAAATGCCTTCCCCTCGGACGTGTCTCCCGGTCCTTGGTTCCCAGGCCCTGTCCCTAATAGGATCCCTGCATGTTTAACTCTGTCTTGGCATTTACTTCTCAGATGACAGCATGTTGGGTATTCTGTTTGCCCTTCTGGACCCTCTGTATACCTCCTCCTCTGCTCTGTGCCTTGAGAGCCTGGTCCTTGGGAATCGGGGGCTCCTGTGCCCACTGACTTCTGGCCAGGTGCAGCCAATGGGGCACTGCCAAGAGGTGGGGGGGTAGCAGAGCCCAGTTGGGGTGTCTATTCCTGTAGCTCCTTCACTGCCAAGGCACCGTGGGCTGGCCAGGAAGGTCACAGCTCCTGTCTCCAAGCGCTCTTTTCATGGTGACCTCTCCAGGTTCCAGTAACATGTCCCCTCCCTAATTCCCTCAGGTCTAGGGGTGGTGACAACTCCCCTCTCTCTAACCTGGGGATACCGCACAGTCCCCTGTTGATTTCCTCAGACCCTGCCTGCGCCTTTGTACATATTCCCTCGATGAAACTATTCCAGTTATCCAGCTTGAGGTCCCACGTGTTTCTTGCCGGGGCCTAATGTCACGACCCCTACCCCCTGCTATGAAATATTGATATATTCTCAACACAGCCGCAGAGCGATCCTTTCAGAGAATAAATCAGATTGGGTCCCCCCTCTGCCCACCTCCCCTAGTGGCCTCAAATGTCAAAGTCCTTGCAGTGCCCTCCATCACTTGATGGCCCAGCCTCCCCTCACCTCCCCAGAACCCCCTGGCTCATCCTCAAATATTCCATGCCTCTTCATTCTACCTCAGGGCCATCATCTGTGCTCTTCCCTCTACCTGGATGTGTGTCCTCCTCACATGCACATGGCTTACCCCTAATTTCTCCTGGATCAGAGGAGGGGTTGGAGCCCCTCTGTCTGGGCCAGTTCCAGCCCGGGCTTTCACGGACCCTGAACCTCAGACTCTGCCGTCCCCCGCCATGCCCACCTCCCCCTCACAGCCCATGGCCTGTACCTGCACGAACTTATTGTAACTGATGAGGTTTACATTGGAGAGGACCTGGCGGATGGAGACGGTGTTGACCGGCTTATCCCCTGTGAGGGAGAGAGAGATATTAAAGGAGGGGCAGGAACGACACCAGAGGTGAGGGTCACTGGCTCTGGGAGGCAGCCAGGCAGAGGTCAAGTTCACAGCTACTGGTCTCGTGAGTCAGTAGCTCTCTGGCCTTTCTAGACATGGGGTAGGCACCACCTAGCAGAGCTCGGCCTGGCCATGGCGCAAGCCTGGGGGTGGGAGGGGAGGGACGGACGGGTGGCTGAGCACCACGCACTTTAGACACCTATTTGAGTGCATTGGAAGTGGGGTGATGCATTTCGCTGGAAGCATCTGCCCCTTCTAGGACACTGGCTGCTGATCCCTCTTCTTTCCGGCTAGTGGTGGTAGTGGGACCGGGTCACCCACCCGTCCATCAGCCCTGATGGACACCACTGGACCCTGTCCCTGCCCTCCACAAGGGGACTGCAGGGCCAAGGGGCTCCCTGGAGGCCTGTTTCCAACGGGCTGGACCGGGAAAGGGAGGTTGGGCTCACCGTCCTCACAGCTGCCGGCGAGCTCTTACCAGGGGCAGGCCCTGAGTTCGGTTCTCCCCATTCAACACCTCACTGAACCTCCCTGTAACCCCACAAGGTGTGCATTCTCACCCTATTTTACAGACGGGCACATTCAGGCTCAGGGAGGCAAAAAGATTCGCCCAGGACCTTACAGCTGGGAAACGGGGCTTGTGATTCAAACCCAAGCTCAGTGTTCACAAAGGGCTGCAAACCTTGACCAAGGGGTAAGACAGGGCTCCCCGGACGCACGTGCCCATCTGCAGGCTCGGCATCCCCTCCGCCCCAGCTGGGGTCAGCCAGCTGGGGTCTAGTTCCAGCTCCATCGTGTTCTCGCTGAGCCCTCTGGGCCAGTGACTCCCCCGACTTCCCCGTGTTCTTGGGTGTGTAGGGGAGAGGAGGGTGAGCGGGGCCTGGCACACCGTGTGACTAGTGAGATATGCTGGCCTCCCCGCGCACAGTGGCTGCCTGTGGCCTGACAGCCGTGAATTCCCACGTTCTCCTTCCCAGCTGGGCGGCTAGAAAACCCACTCAGCCTGTTCCTGGGTCTTGTTCACTGTCAGTGTGGTCCTTGCAGGAAAGGTGACAATGGCTTTCCTTCCACCTGGTACATAACATCTGGATTTGAGGCTTTTTCCGGTTTGCTCTGGACCCAAAGGCATTTAGCCACCGTCCTTACGGGAGCAAGGGGGTTGGGAAGACTGTATTTCTTACACCTTACAGCTGGGGCTCCAGGGTGGTGCCGGGAAGGGCGTGAGGGTCATAAACGGGGAAAAAGGGACTGGCAAGTTCTACTTGAGAACTTCTGAGTTCTGCAGACGCTTTTCCCTTGGAGGTTTGGTCCAGGACATTGTTTACCTCCCATGAGGCCAAGAAAAGCTACAATCCCAGCAGCCAAAGGTTTTTTGGCCTGAGAGCGCCAGGGCCCCTGTCGGAGAGGACCAGCGCTCTCGGATTCACACAGCCTTGGTGGGGACGGGAAGGGAGCCATTCCAGCAAGCTCGTGCCCCTCCACCCCGCCCCAGCTCCAGCCGCAATGGCTCTCAGAATACCTTCCAAGCAAAATGAGAATGTGGGGCCCTTTGTTCAAAGAGCGGGAAAGAAAAAGTGTCACTAAAGATCCTAAAATATAAGGTTTGTTCTTTCCTCCATGGTCTCTCTCCCACCCTGTCCTGTTGGTTTTTTATTTGCTATTTGATGTCATGCTCCCTCAGTCACGGGACACCCGTCTGGTGAGCACAGACCCCCGCGGCGCTGGGAGCCCCAGCTGAAACTTGACGCGTGTGCACAGCCCACCGGCTGCCAGGCATCCCAGCCCACGAGCCACGGGACCCACGTCGAGCCAGACGTCTCCCCTTCCCCCAGGCCCACCATCCCGAGCCCATGGCAAACAGGCAGACTCCGCCGGCTACTGCAGCCTCCACACAGGGGTGTGCTAGCTGCCTGGATCGGGGGTGGGCAAGAGGCTCACCCCTTGCGAGCTGCCCACTACCAGTCCAGGACAAGGACAGTTAATGCCAGCCCCCCACCCCGCCGAGATGCTGAGGGGTACACGCATCCAGGCCTCCCCACGCTCAGACTCCTGCTATAGCAATCACTGCTTGGGGGGGGGCAGAGAAAGGAGGCCCCGCCAGTCCCCACTGCCCATGGCTGAGGCCCCAGGGAATGAGGGGTGTACAGAGGGGATCTCATCCCCGGGAGGCAGCGAGAGGATTCACTCACGAAGCACAAATGGTTAAGAATCTCAAGACAGTAATGGCAGAGCATTAAACTTCCTGAGGTGAGGGCCCTGTCTGAGGACACTGGTCACGGGCCCATGTAGCTCGCCACGTCTCTGCCCCCAACCACCGGCAGCGGGGGCTGGTGGGGCAAGGCATGCAGCGGCAGTGAGGCTCTTGAGTTTAGGGGGACCGCCCTGCTATATAGACTTTGCCATCCCTCTCTCAAGCCATGATGCATCCTGCTTTAGGGGAGGGGGCAGGAAAGCTGGGGTGAGGGACACAGCAGGGGTACCCACCAACAACCCCTTTGAACAGGAGGGCACCACCGTGGCCCCACTTCTGCTTTTCCTGGAAGAGCTTGAAGCAGGCACTAGGGCTGGCCAGGAGCATCCGGAAGCCCTGTGTGGAGAGGGCAGACCTGCCTGAGCTCCCTGGCCTCAGCACGGCCCCCCTGGAGCTCATCCTCTGACCCAGACCCCGGGGACAGGCATGTCACCGCTGTCCTTACCTTCCCATCGGGGGCAGGGACGAAGCTCAGAAACTCATCCACGTGGCCCACGGCTAGCCAGTCCACAAAGAGCTCCACGGGGGACTGCACCCTCTGTGCATAGAGGAAGTCCCGCACCACCTGGGTGACCCGGCGGCCGCTGGACCTGGGGTTAAAAGAATTGCTTAGCTTAAAAAAATCTATGCCGAAATGGAATAACAAGAATTCAAGATTTCTGCAGTATCTGATTTTTTTAAACAACAACAACAACAACAAAAATATGCACTGTGTCTTTTAAATTCTGCTCAGGCTGAGCTCTTGAGCAGATGCAGCACAGCTCAATCCCACCCGGTCAGTGACCCCCAGGTCTTGCCATCCAGGCAAATGCTCAGAGCTGCCCTCAGACCCATCCTCACATTCTCCAAGAGACGGATTCACCACCCTATTCCATCCCTGAGGCCAGGGGGCTCTTCTTGGAGTTTAACTTGCGTCTCTCTTCCTGCGGCCTCGCCTTCTGTACATGAGTGGGGAGAGAGGTGGACAAGATCACCCCCAAGGGGCCGCACAGCCCCAGCATTTTATGCTCATGAACTTAAGGCCCATTCTTCTTTGGCTTTCTGCATAGTATCTAATGGCGTGACCCAAACTTCCTCTTTCTTTTTTTTCTTTCTTTAAGTAGGGTCCATACCCAGCATGGAGCCCAATGTAGGGCTTGAACTTGGGACCCTGAGATCAAGACCTGAGCCGAGATCAAGAGTCAGACACTTAACTGACTGAGCCACCCAGGCGCCTTGGACTTCCTCTTTCTGTGGGATCGCATGTTGAGGGCAGTTAGTTCCCTCCAAAGCCCCTTGATTCACCTGTTTTTTGACTGCAAGTCTGTCCTAACTGCTTTGTTGAATTTGGTTGGCTCAATGTCTTGGTCTATTCCACAGAATAAAACCATACCTATATAATTCCTTTTCTTTTGCATCAGTATCTCGGGTCACATGTTGAACAACAAATAATCTGTTATTCTGTGTGTGTGTGTGCGCGCGCGCGCGTGTGTGTGTGTGTGTGTGTCTTATGACATCTCATTTTTCATGTCCTGTACATTCCTTCTCCTGTTGTCAGGAAAACATTTGATAGTAGCCATTTACATCATAGTATGAACAAGCTCTTAAAATGTAATTGCTCTAGGACTGTTGAGACTTGAAGCTTTTTCTTCTAGAACTATTAATTAAAAGTATGTTATTAGCAATATCATTTCCTTTTGGAATCAGAAGACCTAAGTTTAGTCACAACTTTGCATTCTGTGTGACCTGTACCAGGTCACTCACCCTCTCTAGGCTCACTTGTGAAATGTAAAGGCGGGACTGAATGATCTCTTAGGTCTCTGCTTACTTGGGCCTTCTCAAACTCACCAAGGTAAGTGTGGACAGTGTCTGGTGATCAGCGCACTGCCTCCCCTCGCCCCATCTAGAACTAGGAATTTATCACTCCTCACTGGTTCTCTCCCAGGAGTGAAATTGTCCCTCACCACCACCACCCCAGCCACCGTCACCACCTTCCACCCCAGGAACACCTCTCCCTGCTCCTCTCTCACCCAGGCAGGTTGCCCCCGATGAGGATCCTCCCCAAGGGGTACTCTTTCCCATTGGCCACCACTGGGGGGCTGACCTCCAGGTTACCGAAGGAGTCCAGGCCACTCACAGAGCTGTCTTGTGGTTCCCGAGTCACATAGCCGAAATCTGGACCCTGGCAAGGGAAACTGAGTCAGGCTGGGGGGGGCGGTCACCAGAAAGAACTTGAACCAACTTGCTGGGCTCTGAGTTCCTTAAGGATGGGGCAGGAATGACTGCCCATTCTTCAGACGGAAATACTGAGTCAAAGACAGGGATCTGACCTATTCAATATTTCACGCATGCATATAGGCCAAAGTTGGGAAACACACAGGTGCTCTGGCCCCGCTGCCACATTAGAGCACATTATCCCCATGGTCACAGGAGACAGTGGAAAGGGCCCTGGTTGCCTATACTCCCCATTACACATGGAGCCCGAGGCTATGGCCCCCGCCCCTTACCCTCTGAACAGCCTTCCTGCCAAGGGCAGCCCAAGGGCAAGTACCTGGCTGTTCTAGAGCAGCCTGTTCCTGGGGACCAAGGGACTGAGGATGGAGTCTCAGCCTTTCCACCTTGAAAAAGGGGAGAGCTCCCCAGGGCCATCTCTTAGAAGGAACTCAATCAACATTGAGGCCCAGGTGAGAGCTCCTACCACCTCTGGGGGGGGGGGTGGTTGGAAGGGCCTCACGGTCTCTATAGTACCAAGGGAGTCTTCCCTCTCTCTTCTAGGAGGTCCTGGTCCCCAACCACCATCTTCACAGTATTCCTTATTACCAATATTAATCTCAGCTAACAGTGCTGCGGGCTCCCTCTGCCCGGTACAGAGAAGCCTCACAAACACTTGTGAGACCAGGGCTATGATATCATTTTTGTTGATGAAGAAACTGAGGCTCAGAAAGGGCAAGTGACCCAGGCCAGGTCACACAGCATCTGAATAACAACCAGGTGGTTCTGATTCCAAAGCCTGTGTTCTTAACAGGGGCACTGCCCCACCCCCAAAACCGCCCTTACCTAGGGCTGCCAAATTTCGTAAATAAAAATACAGGATGCATAGTTAACTTTGAATTTCAGATAAACCACAAATATAGTTTTAGTATAACTGTGTCCCGTGCAAGGCTTGGAACATACTTATACCAAAAAGTTCCTCATTGCCGATCTGAAATTCAAATGTAACTAGGCATCTCCCGTGTTCTATCTGGTCATTCCTGTCCCTAAAGAACGTGGTCCCCATGCTGCGCCCTAGACTCTACATCCTGGTGGGGCTCCGGGAAGTGTTCCTCGGCCCTCAGAGCCAGGCTGCAGCCTGTGGCCCGGACCACTCACCAGGATTCTTTTGTAAGGGAAGTCCTGCAGTTCTCCATTCCTGGGGGAGTCAAACACCACCGGGAAGGTCTTGTGTGGCGCCTGAACATAGCCCAGCTCCATCTCGTCCTGCGAATGAAAGAGACAGCCTGTGGACAATCAACACTCATTCGGCACTGAGCGCTTTGGGGAAGACTATTCTTGGAGGTTCTTTGTCTCAGGCCTGCTTTGCCCTTTGGGGTGAAGAAGGCAGGGGTTCATGATCCTTGCTGGCTGGAGGGGAGGCTGGAGGCTCAGAGAGGCGGCGCTCTTGCCTAAGGTCACACAGCAAGACAGATGGGGAATGCACGAGAACATGGACGTGACCCTGGGCGGTGTCCCCATGCCGGATCAGGGCAGAGTGGCCACAGAGAGGGGCACAGAGTGGCCTGAGTCGGACAAACAAGTCACTGGACATCAGCCAGCACCTCTGGCCTCCACGTGTGATCATGGACAGGGCTGAGGTGAGCAAAGGAGGTATAGGTCTGCCTCCTCAGATCTCTCAACATTTAGCCCAGCTCAATTCTGATCCCTCTGGTCCTGGAGGCAAAGAGGGCCCGGCATCGATGAACTCTATATCCAATGAGAAGCGCAGTTATGTGCCTGGCCCTGCTCTCAGCCCTTTATAAATAGTAACTCCATGAACCCTCACCACACCCACACTCATGCAGAGGCACTATGATTACCCACGTTACAGATGAGGAAAGTGAGAAACAGAGAGGTCTAATTGTTTGTCCAAGGACACAGAGCTAGTCAGTGGCGCAGCCAAGATCCACGCCCAGCCCATCTTGCTCCAGGGTCCAGCCCCGAACGTCCGCCTCATCGGATGAACCACCAGCCATGAAAGCTTCTCAGCTTGGCATGCACTTGGCATCCCACTTCAGCGCCTTCACAGAACCTTGGCCGTGGCCAACAAGAGCACAAGGCGAGCTTTCTCATGCCTCCCCTCTCAGGGCCTTTGCACATGCTGGTCCTCTGTGAGGCCCACCATCCCCTGAGCCCCAGTGTGGCCCTTATCATCTCTGTGGCCTTGGGCATGGGCCCCCTGCGAGCACATCGCCTACCTGGTCCTGCCCCAGTGCCCTTCCTCCTGGAGGTCTTTATTCATCCCCCAGACAGAGGTGATACCACCCTCCTCCAAACCCTGCTGGCACGTTGCTGGTACCCCTGCTACATCTTCAATTGCAGGAGCGGGGTGAGAGGGGCTGTTGCAATAATTCACCACACCAGTGTTTCTCAGCCTTGGCACACGTGACACTTGGAGCCAGCGAATTCTTTGCTGTGGGGCCACCCTGCGCATTCATTGTAGGATGCTTAGCAGCATCCCCGGGCTCTACCCACTAGAAGCCAGTAGCACCACCAGCCTCGGGGTGACAGCCAAACATTTCTCCAGATACTGCCAAATGTCCCTTGGAGGACAAAGTTGCATTCTGTGGGCAACCACAAGGGCCAGGCTGCTGAGGCAGAGAGTGTGTCCCACACCTCGGCCATTCCCTTCAGGGCCAGCCCCGTGCCTAGCCCAGATCCTGTGGGTGAATGTGGGTTCAATCCAGTGTCAGTGTGTGCCTGGGTCTCTAGAAAGTTCTGGAGAGAGGGAGGGAGCTCTAGGTCTAGAGTGAGAAAAAAGAGTGCACTGGGGAGGACAGTCACGGCCCCCAGGTCCTTCTGGATATTCACAGCAACCTCCCCTCCCTGCCCTGGGTCGGGATGGGCCAGCCTCTCCCTCCAAGATTCCGTCCTGGCTGGGTGCTGCCCACCGGCCATGGTACCTGGATCCAGCGGTCATTGCGGTTCTCATTCTGCGGGCAGATGGTCAGCTTGCAGCCAGCCTTCGTGGCCAGCTCCGCCACGGCGTCCACAAAGCATGTGTTGTTCCTCACGCTGCACACAAGCCCAGGGAGCGTGGCTCAGGACAGAGCCAGGTGTGGAGACCAGAGGGGCCACCAGGGTCCGAAGGACACCCATGCCCCCCTCCCACACTCACCGGCACACGTATACCTCCAGGGGCGGCAGGGTGCTGGGCGTCATAATCCAGGGCGCCACGCGAAACACCACGGTGTCGGTGAAGACTGGGGACTCGGAGAAATCCTACAGGGGAAGACGGGCAGAAGGACAAGAGCACTGGCCTTGGAGTCCAGAGGCCCGGCTGATCCCGCTGACATCTCCTCGTTTCTAGAAGGGCGGCAGCGGGGTGGTCGAGAGGTCTGGGGTCCTCCACGCTGGTGGTGCCCCTCTCTCCCAGGGATGGAGCCCTCCCTTACCCTCTTTGCCCCGGCCACCCCTCACCTCGTTGGAGTCGTCCAGCAGGGTGACATGAAAGGAGACGAGCCCCGTGAAGCTGGCATCAGGGAACGAGAGACCCTCCACAAAGAAGCGTTCCTCGTCCCCGTGGAAGCGGGGCACCTCGTAGGACACCTTGTCCTGGCCCAGCACGTGCCTGTAGGACTTGCACGAGTCTTCAGGACCTGGGAGGGGATGGGACGGGATGGCCGTGACCCCCAGGTGGGCCCGCAGAGCATGAGGGTGCAGGAGGAGCTGGGCCAACCTCACCGAAACCCCTCAAGCCAGACAGGCAGCCCCAGCCTCTGCCCTCCCACCAGCGAAGGAGAGAAGATGCTTGATGCCCAGTGTGGGCAAGGCCAGGGGAAAGGCCATTCCTTTCTAAGATGGCTGTTCAGACCTTCTGGGGACAACTCGGCAGCATCCCACAAAGTAAGGTCTACTCCTAACGAGCAATCCCGCTTCTAGATGTCTTTGCTGCAGATACACGTACGAGGGTGTTCACTGGCTGTTCATTCATTGAACAAGTATTTACGGAGCACCTGCTCTGCACCTGGGAGGCCTGGTTCTAGGCTCAGGATGCAGCCGTGAGCAAGGCCCCTGCCCTCGAGGAACCTATACTGTGGTCAGACCAGAGCACTGCAAACAGCTGCATGCTCAGGGAAGCGGATAAGTTACCGTACGCCCGTGCTTTGGAGTACCACACCACTGTGGAAGAGAATGAGGCGGAGCCGCATAAATACAGAAAGGAACGTTAGCTATCATTCAACGGAAGAAAGTGTTTGGAAAGCAGGATATGTACACACCACATACCCGTGCACATTCAATGCATCCAGAGAAAAGTCGGGAAGAACCCATGGCAAATCGTTAACAGTGAACTCATTTTAAAGAGTCAGGTTTAGGGGTAGGGAGGGGGAACTCTCATTTTTTACCTTATATACTTCTATATTGTTTGATCTTTTCATTTTTTAATGTTTTTAAAAGATGTATTTTAGAGAGAGGGCACATGTGAGTGCGGGTGGGGCAGAGAACAGAGGGGGAGGGAGAATCCCAAGCAAACTCCCTGCTGAGCATGGAGCCCAATGTGGGGCTCAATCTCAGGACCCTGAGATGACGACCTGAGCTGAAACCAAGAGTCGGACGCCCAATCCACTGCGCCACCCAGACGCCCCTTGTTGGAGCTTTTTTAAAATGAGCATTTTATCACTTATATGCATTTGTATCTTTAAAAGGGATTTTATGTTAGGGGCGCCTGGGTGGCTCAGTCTGTTAAGCGTCTGCCTTCGGCTCAGGTCACGATTCCGGGGTCCTGGGATCGAGCCCCGCATCGGGCTCCCTGCTCCACGGGAAGCCTGCCTCTCCCTCTCCCACTCCCCCTGCTTGTGTTCCCTCTCTCGCCGTGTCTCTCTCTCTCTCTCTCTGTCAAATAAATAAATAAAATCTTGAAAAAAAAAGGGATTTTATGTTCTTGCTCATACTATGGTTCTGTAGAGCAATAGTCAGTGGTTTTGGGGGGAGATGCACGCTGAGTTCTGCAGGGGCACTAGCCATCATGTCTGGGAGTGGCTTTACAATACTTGAGCAAACAACAGATGAAGCAAGAGACGCAAGGCAGCGGTCATTGTTGAATCTGAGTGACTGGCATACAGGGGTTTGTCACTATTCTCTCTACTTTTGCGTGTGTTTGAAGGTTTTGATAATAAGAATTTCTAAACATGCTTAAAATATATTTTTAAATTTATTGTTTAAAGATTTTATTTATTTGAGAGAGAGAGAGCACAAGCAGGGGGAGGGGTAGAGGGAGAGGAAAAAGCAGACTCCCCGCTGAGCAGGGAGCCTGACACGGAGATCAATTCCAGGACCCTGAGAAAACGACCGGAGCTGAAAGCAGACGCCTAACTGGCTGAGCCACCCAGCACCCCTAAATATATTTTAATTCATCCAGTCAAATGGCCTGGGGCCATGGCTGTGCAGGGACGCCAGCCTGCCTGTTTCAGAGTTCCCCCAGCTGGCCCTGCTTCCTCTGACCCCCCAGGCAGGCTGGAAGCCAGAGCAGACCCTGCCTTCCGGCCCCAGGTGGGGAAACTGAGGCCCCCCAGCAGTGGGAGCAGGGGGAGGGGACGAGCATGAACTCACCACAGGCGTGGAAGACCCGTGCCCACTTGGCGTCATAGCTGGAAGTGTGGAGGATAAGTTTGTGGTCATCAAAGAGGGCGGCGGGGCCTTGGGTCCTCAGGACCATGACGGACATGTCTTCCAGGTCTGTGGAGCCAGACATGGGTGGCAGCTCAGGGGGCCCACGACACTCCACGTCTTCTCCTCCTGCCCACCACACCACCCCCGCCCCAAGGGCAGAGGGCGCCAAGACCCGGGTCTCTGAGCCCCGGCTCTGCCCACCCTGTGAAAACACTGGAAACCATCAAGAGCAAAGCATCAGGACGTCCATAAGCGTGTGCCATGTGAATACGTCACACCCTCTCCGGGCCTCCACTCCCTCACCTGCCCAGAGCAACGGGAAGTACAGAGCAGCCAGCCCTGTGCCCGGGGACAGGTGAGAAGTGTGCGGCCACCTGGGCGGCGTGCTGGGGAGAGTCTGCTCTCAGGGCAAGCGTCACTCTCTGCTGACATCAGGCAGGCCCCTCCCTCCCTCCCTGAGCCTCAGCGCTCCCCAATCTGAAACGAGGGACAGATGTGCCCCGTTTCGGAGCAGCTGTGCCCACCCACGCATAAAGCACCTGGCCCGCACCCCGGGATATTACTGCAGCCTTCCTCACGGGGCTGTTGTGTGCAGTGTGAGACTGACTTAGAACATGGGGCATCCTGAAATGAGTCACGGGTGCCTGGTGGGAGGCTGGATCTGGGGTGCGGATAGGAAGCTTTGGATCTTCCACAGACAGGCTGGGAGGGGTTAGCTGCCAGCCTGAGGCAGGTTTTGAGCAACAACAAAGTGTGTCCAGGAGCTGGAACTTTGGCCCCCGATGCTCCCTTCAATGCTACCTGCAGGGTGGCTGAGCAGTGACCCTGGGCACCCCCCTCACCTTGCAGGCAGTGCACGTGCCGGTCACGGTTGTCCTGGTCATTGCAGTTCAGATCATCTCTGTCGCAGTTCACCAGCAGGATGGCTCCATACCCTCCAGGCCCCCAGACCCAATCCCGCTGCCAATGGCAAAGCATAGCTGGTGATGGGGCTCGGACCCGTCCTGTGCCCCCACCCAGCAACCTCCTGGCCAGCCTCCTGACCCCGCCTCTTCCTCTTCGCCCTCCCTGTGAGGACAGGTCCACTCTCACGGAAGCACTTCCTGCACCAGATACTGCAGTGGCTCCTGATTACCCACACCAGCAAGTCTAAACTACACTGAGGTCTCTCGTGGCCAACTGCAATGAGTCTCCAGCCAATGTCCTATTTCTCAATGGGCAACTTCCTGATTATAGATCCATTCCTGGCTCCAGGCCTTGGCTCCCGCTCTTCCCTCCACCTGGAATGCCTTCCCTCTTGCATTGCTTTAGAACCTAGCTCAAGTGGACTTCAAAGGAAGTCTTCCTTGCTCATGCAGCCCATCTTGACCTTCTGCTCTGAACTCCCAATGCGTTCAGTGCCACCACAGTTCAGCCCAAAGTTCTTTAACAGTCTCATACTTGGTAGAGTTCCCCTTTCACCTAGATCAGAAGGTTGGCACACCAGGGCCGGGGGCCACTTCTGGCCCACTACCTGTTTTTGTAAAGAAAGTTTTATTGGAATAGTCACATCCATTGTATTGACTATAGCTCTTTCACACTACAACGGCAGAATTGAATAGTTGCAACAGAAACACTTTGCAATGCCTAAAATATTTACTATCTCACTTTTACAGAAAAAGGTTCCTGACCCCTGACCTAGACTGAAATTCCAGAAGGACTTTTCCCCACAAAGCAAGGCCTAGCCCAGGCCTGGGGATGTATATATTTGATAATTCTTGGTAATAATCTTTCTCCTAGTGAAAGAAGATCCCCAGCCATGCTGGGTTCCCATTTGGCTCTCCTGACCTCAGCAGCAGCTAGGAGGCAGGGGGATACAGAGCAACGGGAAGTACAGAGCAGCCATGTAATGTCCTCTCGCCTCTTAACCCAGCCTAGGTCAACTCCAAACTCCATGCCCCTTTCTGGGCCCAAGTTGAATCGCCCTACCTTGTCCACAAAGCTCCTATTCTGCCTGCCCTCACAGTTCAGGTCACAATCCAGAGCAATGTCTGCAAAGGGAGGACAGAGAGTAAGTCACTGTGGGGTTCCCAGGAGTCCAGCACAAGTCCAACAATGTACATTTTGCCTCTAACAATGCCTCCTGCAGACAAGAGCATTTTCAACTTTCTTGCTAAGTGCGCTGCAGGTTGCTTGTACCCATGCAAACTCCCACCCACCGTCAAGGACCTCCCCAGTTCCACATCCTTGGCAATGCTGAGTTAAGCATATTTCCATTTACGTTCTGATCACTGGGGCTTTCTCTTCTATGAATTGCTTATTCATATGTTTTGCCTATTTCCATTAGTTTGTCCTTTTTTCCTATTGATTGGAGTTCTCCATAACCTATATGTACCGAGTCAGCCATATGCATTGCAAAATTCTTCTCCCAGTTCATATTTTGACTTTTTCTTCCCTTTTTGTTTAAAGTAAGCTCTGTGCCCAAGGTGGGGCTTGAACTCATGACCCTGAGATCAAGATTCATGTGCTCTGTGGACTGAGCCAGCCAGGCGGCCCCATAGTTTGACTTTTTACTTGTCCTCTGTTGTAGAAAAGTTCTAAAATCTAATACAGTCAAGGGCGCCTGGGTGGCTCAGTCGTTAAGCATCTGCCTTCAGCTCAGGTCATGGTCCCAGGGTCCTGGAATCGAGCCCCACATCAGGCTCCCTGCCCGACGGGAAGCCTGCTTCTCCTTCTCCCACTCCCCCTGCTTGTGTTCCCTCTCTCACTGTGTCTCTCTCTGTCAAATAAATAAATAAATAACATCTTTTAAATTAAAAAAAAAATAAAAAATAAAATTTAATACAGTCGAATTTATCATTGCCCTATCTTCAAGTTCACTGATCCTCTCTCTAGCTGTGTCAAGTCTACCAAGACAACCCACCAAGAACATTTTTTTTTATCTGTTACCGTGATTCTTAGTTCTAGCATTTCCATTTGACACCTTATAGTTTTCAGCTCTCTGTTGAAATTCCCCATCTGTTAATTCATGTTATCTACCTTTTCCTTTAATGTATTAATCAATCTGAGTTATCATGCATGGAATTTATATACAGTTTGTGGACAACTGGCACAAAAAACTTAAGGTCGAAAAAGCAAGGTCCAGTTCCAGGCCTAGAGTATGTCTCCCTCTGCTTACAAAAGGGGGTTACACAGGTATGCCTGTGTCCACCTGCACAAGCATAGCAGATCTCTAGAAGGATGCTGGGCTTGGGGAACTGGAGGTCTTCGGTTGGGAGAAAGGGAGGTTTACTTTTCAATATACACTCCTTTATACCATTTGAATTTTTTAAATGTACACTTATTTTAATTTTTAAAATAAAATGAATTGATGTTTATAAAAAGACCCTTGTTCCTTGCCATTCCCAACCACCCCCCACCCTTGGCCCAAGCCCTAGCATGGCCCCCAACTTACCAACACAGGTGAGGTAGAGCACCGCATAGGCCAGGGGCAGGGGCTCACGGCTAGAGTGGTAGGAAATCTGAACCTGTAGAGAAATGGGCCCAGAGTCAAGCCAGCTAAAGCCAATAGCCCCCACCCCAAAGGACAGGTCTTGGGGGATCTGGCAGGAAAGAGAGAGGGTCTCAGGAACCTCTGTGCACTGCAGTTGAGTTTACCAACCCAGCTCTTCCATTAGCCTCTGTGCCATTTATTTTTCCATGCCTTGCTTGGCCCATCTGTAAAATGGGAACAATTTGTGAGGGATTCCCTGGAGACTTGGGTCCCAGGGCTGCCAGTGACTACCGTGTGATTTGGACAAACCCCTGCTCCCCTGTGGATCTGTTTCGCCACTTGTAAAAAAAGGAGGTCTCTGAAAGGGCAGGATTTAGGGACCTTCTCTTATCTGTGGGATTCAGCCAGGCCTGGACTTGAGGCCAGCACCTCTGGGTTCTGTCGCCTTGGCCAAGGTCCCTCACCTTTCTGGCCTATCTGGTTTCCTCATCTGCAGAACAGCAAACATACAAGACCCTACCGCCCGCAGAGGATTTTAGTGCCGCTTGGTAACAATGCACATACAAGACTGACCCCGTGGGCAGGCCCCCAGACACGGCAGCTATTGTTAACAGAGGGCAGGTGGCACTGTGTGAGCTGGTGCTGCTCTGGGCTCCTGTTCCAGATCCACCACTTGTGACTATCCTGGGAAGAGTCACTTGTCCTCTCTGGGCCTCAGTATCCCCTGCTGTAAAGTAGGGATAATAATAGTCCCTACCCCAGAGGGTTGATTGTAGGCTGTGACCATCAAAGAAGGAAGGCGGGTGACATGCTCAGCACTGCGCTTGGCTACAGCAAGCCCCAGTAGCTGTTAAAGGCTGGGCTGACTATGAGAACACAGTTCAAGGCCCATGTATCAAAGCCCCTTTGGCCCACAGCCCTCCGCTTGCATGTTCCCTCTTGATGGGGGTCCCTCAGCTCTGCCAGAAGGCTCAGGATCTTATAGAGGTCATTCACCCCTCAGCGCTGGGAGCCCCTAAATCCTGCAATCACTGACACCCATCTGTCAAGCCTGAGCAACGATGCTGGCCTCAGGCATACAGTTACCTGTATCTAGGCCAAAGGTGGGGGAAGGGCAGACACGCCGACCCTCCTCAATCCCTTTGGTCTTCGGCATCCACCCAGCCCCGGCGTGGCAGGGCACCCAGGCGGGGTCGCTCACTGGCTGGCTGCTCCTCTTGCCCTGTCCCGGGGACTCTGTCCTGAACCTCACCAACTCTGCTACTCACTAGATGGGGTGACTTCGGATAAGCCACCCCCCTTCTCGTTCTCAGTTTCCTTATCTGTAAAATGAGTTCATTTACCTGTCCACCTGCGTCACAGAGCTCAGTGGAGGGGCTCATCTCAGATACATGGATGGGAAAAGACGAGGGGGTGATGAAGGGAAACTGCCGCCCAGGTGTCAGGCAGGTCTGTGTAGAATTCTAGCTCTCTAATTGATTGGCTCTGTGGCCTGGACACAGTTACTCTGAACCTTGGTGGCCCCACCTATGGAATGGGGATCAGACCCTGCCTCTCTGAGCTGTTGTGAGGGCTGTGTGAGGTCATGGCTGCCCAGGGCGTGGCGTATGGTCAGTGGTCGTTAAAAGGTCAGTTTCCTACAACACTGCTCCTGGCATGAAGCGGGAACCTGCCCACACGACAAGGCCTCCTTCCCCTCACGCCTTTAAGGGGGCATCACTTGGGCCAAGCTCCAGGGCCACCCCATTTCTCCCCTCTTCTGATGCCCCCTGCCCTGAGGTCGGAACACCTGCCTACAGCTGGGGCTTGTTAAGCTCACCCTTGGTGGCTGAATGAGCAGAGAGGTGAGGAGGGGGAGTTACGTGCCTCTGAGAAGGGAAGGGGGTCAGGGAGAGAGTGGATTAGGAGGTGAGGCACCCAGTACAAGGGGGTCTCCCAGGCACCGGCATCCCCCCATCTCTGCTTTCTCTCCAGTCGGAGTGGCAGAGATCACCTAATTAACCCTCAGCCTGCAGAAAAACGGGGACACCTCCCTTCACTGGGGTCTTGGGAAACAAGAAAAGCAGCAAATGTTGGCTCATGTTCCACCCCACTCCAACACCAGGAGGAAAGGTGCTGTGATCACCCCCATTTTACACATGGGGAAACCGAGGCCCAGAGGACTGATGTGACTTGCCAGTAGACACACCGTTTATGTCTGTAAGTTGCAGGGCTGGCTGGTTCCGGGAGCGGGTACTTACCCATCACGCGACCCTGCCATCTGGGTAAATAGAGGGTGCTGGCCCTTGTGGAGCTAGATCACTGCCCCGCACGCCCCCCGCCCCAGACCAGGGGACCTGCTCACATGACTGTCATTGAGGTCGTTGCTGGGAGAGTTCATGACCACGATGATCTCCAACCCCGTATCAAAGTGCCACCGCCTGGTGTCCGCGCGCTCCCGGCCCCTCTCCACACTAGGAGAGATGTAGATGTCCACGCTGGGGGTCCCATAGACCTCGAACATCTCTGTGCCCTCAGGTACCGACCTGGGAAGGACAAGAAGCCGTGGGAAGTGCTAAAGGGAGGCAGTACTTGTTCAGATGCTTGAGCTTTGGCTCAAACTCTTGCTTCCTCCGGGAAGCCTTCCCTGACCACCCCAAGCCTCTCAGATCCCCACAGCAAGCTCCTGGGAGTGAAGCCTGGACCCCACACAAATGCATACACAGTCTCACATTCCAAGGTTCTGTGTTTATTAACATTTCCCTTGTGAGTTATTTTAACTCCCCACAAAACTGCAAGCTCTTTGAAAGTTAGGACCCAGTTGAGTGCTTTATAACTCCCCGGTGCCGAGCTGGGCACAAGGAGCTCAGTGGACATCAGCCTAAAATGGACCCCACTGCAGTGCTGAGCATGGCTTTAAGAAGAGCGGTCTCCCCTCAAGGTCCCAATGCATCCCTCTTTAGCGGGCGAGATGTTCTTGGGGGTCTTCCCTAGGGAAGGCTAGTAAGTTTTGTGGAGGGCTACTATGTGCCAGGCGCCTTGTATTTCCTAGATCCTTTTATTCTTATAAGTCTGCAAAGCAAGCGGTATCATCTCTATTGCAAAGGTGAGAAACTGAGGCTCAGAGAGATCAAGTATCAAGCCCGAGGTCACATGGCATCTGACACAGAGCCCATGCTTCTCTGTGGCACTGCAGTGTCACCTGGGAAACTTGGCCAGATCCAGTCAAACAACCATGCATTATTTAGACGTCTTAAAAGCCTGTCATTCGGCCCTGGGACTGCGTTTCTCCATCCCCTCCGGTTAGTCTGTTTGAAATCAGTCTGTTCACACCTCTGATTGTCTGTGGGGTACCCAGGGTGCCCACTGTGCCCAGAATCATTGCCAGACTGAGGCAGGTACACCCCACTGCTCTCTCCACTGCCCCAGAAACTTCCATCCCACCAGGGAGTTAAAAACAGCCCTGCCCAGGACAGCCCGATGGGACTTACGGTCAGCAAGTCAGTGGTCAGTGGAATCCCGTGTAGGGAGAGGCCACTGTGAGCCAGAGAGACCAGAAGGCTTCCTGGAGGAAGCAGCACACACGTGTGCCTGGGGGATAACAGGAGCTGACATTTGTCAAGCTCTTGCTATATGCCAGTCCTGTGCGCAGTTCTTAGATCTATTACATCATGTAACCCTCTCAATAAACCTAGGAGACGCGGATTACCATTGTCTCCCACTTTACAGATGGGGAAACTGAGGTTAATTAAACTGTCCAAGGTCACTGAGCTAGTAAGTGGCAGGACTGGGATCCCAACCCAGGCCTTCTGGTTCCTGAGTCCATATTCTCACCCACCACCTCCCCAAGAGTAATCACAATAATCAGAGCCCCCCAGGCCCCCATCCCCTACACGCTCACCAGGGCAGGCCTGGCTAAGCCCTTCCAACCAGCATTCATTTCATCCTCCCCATGGCCCCGGGAGGAGGGGATGATTACTCCCACTTACACATGGGGAAACAGAAGCTCCGGATGGGAAAGAGACTTCCCCAAGGTTGCACAGCTGGCGATTCGACTCCCAGCCGTTTTCCTTTCCCTGCTCCACCTGGAGGAGAGCAGACCTCCTCCAATATACTCTCTTCACTCCTCCACCGGCGGGGTTCTGATACTTCTCAAAGTGGCTTTTTTTTTTTATATATAAATAGAGAAATAAGCCAAACCCAAGCACCACGTCATTAGGCAGGCCCCCGTCCTGGGCGTGGCCCTCCCAGGCGGGGAGGGCCCGACCCACCTGCTTCTCCTCCCAAGCGGGGCTGCTAGATTTAGCAAACAAAAACAGAGAACACCCAGTTGGACTCGGACTTCAGATAAACAACAAATAATTATTTTAGTCTAAGGATGTCCCATGTGATATTTGGGACATGCTTACACTAATATGTGTGTGTGTGTATATATATATATATTAATTATTTATCTGGATTTCAAATTTAACTAGGCATCCTGGATTTTATCTGGCAACCCTATTCCCAAAGCCTGTAATTTCCAGGGCTGGAGGTGCCCTCTGTCCTGTTGTGCTCTGGGTGTGTGGGCCAGCCCATCGTGGGGCATAAAGAACCTGGACAGAGAGGCACGGGGCACAGCGACAGAGAAAGCCAGAGACAGAGAAAGACAAAGAGATATAGAAAAACCCAGAGAGATGGAGAGCCAGAAAGACAGACACATGGAAATAGACTGGGTATGAAGGGCCCCCCTCCACCCCAGGGAGCACCCTCAGCCCCACTCCCTGAGTTACCTGGCCTTCAGCTCCGCAGGAGGTTTATAAACTTCTCGTGAAACTCCCCCCAACCCCAAGTTGCTGCTTGGATCCAGGTGCCCATGAGCTGGACGTGAGCAACTTGATGGTCCTTCCGGTATGGAACCCCACCCAGCTCCCCAGCCCCAGCCCCAGGCCCGGTTTGGGGTATCTCAGCCCAGTTCCCTTGCATCTCCCTGTATGAGGCGCCAGGGATCTCTGATGAAGATCCCTTCAGGCCTGGGGGGAAGAAACCAAGATCTCAGTGGTGCCAGGACCAGAGTCAAGAGTCAGGTTCTAGACTGGGTTGGGTTGCACATTAGCCGGGTGACACTGAATAAATCACCTAGCCTCCCTACAAAGTGGAATGATGACACCCACTGGGTCAAACTCACAGGCAATTGTAAGGCTCAGATGTAATAATGGGAAAGGCTTGGAAAACCACCCACCCAAGATGGGGGAAGGGGGTTCTTCAAGTAAATTAGGAAGCAGGAAATGGGCAGACGGAGGCAGGTTGAGAGGGTGGGCTGAGGGGGCTGGGGGCAGCTTCCTGGAGGGAGGCAGGGGAACCAAGGACCGGGAGACACGTCCGAGGGGAAGGCATTTTCACAGGGGAGCCTTAGCAGGTCAAGGGTAAACTCGGGCTGTGATGGGGAGCCAGCGGAGGTTCTTGATCTGGAGGGGCAACACCTTGGAGCTGAGGTGAGGGGGTTAAGCCTGTGGGTGCTGGGCCCCGGCAGGCTGGGTTCAAATCCCAGCCCTACCACCCGCTAGGTGTGTGACCTTGAGAGAGACACTTGGCCTCCCTCTGCCTCTGTGTCTCCGTCTATAAAGCGGAGAAGATTAAAGGAGTCAGTGTGCGTAAACGCTCCCGATGAGTGAAAGTTAGAGGTGCCTGAACCCATGCTTCACTTCACTCCAGGGAAACTGAGGCCCAGAAGAGAAGGGACTAGAAGGTAGGGCTCCAGACTCCCGGTCCAGTGCTCATGCCCCATTAGGGAAGCTGTGAGAAAGATCGAAAGGGTGGCTGCTGGGAGAAGAGCCTGCATCAGGTACAGGAGGGTCTGGATTTCCCGCCCTGTGGAGGGCAGGGGAAGAAGCCAGAGGCTCAAAGTTCAAAGTTTCCTCCAGCCAGGCCACCCTGAGCTGCCAGCATGCTGCTCTAGACCATGCCCCAGCGCTGGGGGCTTTGGGCTTTCCCCCACTGAGGCTGTCCGCGCACAGCCTCTTCAGGGCACATGAGGGGAAACTGAGGCCCAGGAAGGAGCAGAAAATGGCTCAAGATGAGCTAGGAAAGGACTACAGAGCTAGGACTAACACTCAGGTGACTAGCCCCCAGGTGACCTCTGCCTTTTCACTCCACTGACCTGCCACCACTGAGCAAGAGGTGACAGGAGTTGGCTTGTCCAACTGGGGCAGTGGTTTTCAACCCTGGCTGCAGCTCTGGCCAGCCCGGGGGCCCAACTGCTCTGGAGGCCCTACCAGCCTAGATGACGAAGGGAGGCAAAGCGTGCTACGGTGACCAACAGTTCTGTTTTGCCAGAGACAGGGTGTGTCCTGGGGTATAGGACTTCCAGTGCTAAAACCCAGAAGGTCGTGGGCAAACCAGGACAGCTAGTCGTCCTCACAGTGGCCAACCTCAGACCTGCCTATTGAAAATGCAGAGTCCAGATCCAGCTGTGCTGTAGGCAGGGTCCCCAGAACCTGTCCTTCAAGCCACACTGACGCCCAGTGACATCTGAGAGCCATGGCTAAGGGTGGGCTGTCTCCCCAGGCAGCGTGGGAAGGACTCAGGGTGAGCCAACTCTCTCCTAGGAATCAAGACAAGTCAGCTCTTCCTTTGTGCTCTGTGTCACCCCTTCAATGGTGAGGATGATGATAGTGATGGTGACAAAGGTATCCCCACAGCTACACAGTGTCGGTCCTGTTATCTCCGCTGTACAGATGAGGGAACAGGCCCAGAGATGACAGGCGATTTGCCCAGAGTCACACAGCTGGTCAGTGACAGAGCCGGGACTCAGAGCCGGCTCTGTGTCCCACGGCCCCTGCAAACCCAAACCCATCCTCTCCTTTCATGGGCTCAGGGCCTTGGCCTCTGGGAAAATGAAACCAGACATTTCAGAGCCGAAAAACTGATGGGAAAGGCCTTTGTGGCCAAAAACAGACAGGTTGACAAGATGACCACCACGGTCCCCACCAACGTAGCCCACGGGGGCAGAGCGGACCAAGGCCCAAACAGCTCAGGCTCTGGGTGGCAGTACCGGATGCCCCTCCCTGTTCATCGAGGTCCTCAGATCCCAAGTCCTCTGGCCTCACCATCACCAGGGTCAGAAGACCACTGTCCCTCCTCAGTCTCACACTCTTTCTGCCCCTGAGAAATGGTGGCCCCATGAACCCTTTTCCTAAAGCCCAGATCATTAGGAGAGTTGACGATGCATCAGCCTCCCAGGGCCCGGTCTGCCCAAGCAGGTCAAAATGCTCACATGACACAAGCCGGTGGAAGCAGACAGAGAGCCCTGCAACCCACTGGTCTATGCCAGCCTCTTCAGGGCACATGAGGGGAAACTGAGGCCCAGGAAGGAGCAGAAAATGGCTCAAGATGAGCCAGAATAGGACTACAGAGCTAGGACTAACACTCAGGTGACTAGCCCCCAGGTGACCTCTGCCTTTTCACTCCACTGACCTGCCACCACTGAGCAAGAGGTGACAGGAGGTGGCTTGTCCAACTGGGGCAGTGGTTTTCAACCCTGGCTGCGCATTCATCCCCAGGGTGTGGCTCAGCACACCCATGTGTCTCCCTTCCTACCCTTTCCCCCTACAAACCCCTGCTCAGGAAAGCAAAGCCCCCTCACCAAGTCGGGGTTGTCTCCAACTCAACGGGAGGCAAGAAGACAGGGTTTAGTCCACTGCCACAGACAGGGTGCCCCAGTGGTCTGGTTGGTGTCCTTCCCCCAGAAAACCTGCCCCGACTGCTCGGCTTATGTTAATTTTTCTTTTCTCATCACCTCCTTCTCCCAGTAGGGTTCAGAGGTTGTGCCCATCTTGTGGATGGCAGGTTTGGGGACACTTGAGGCTGTCCAAAGGGCCAGGACAGAGCCTTAAAATGATGATGATGATGATGGTGGTGGTGGTGATGGAGGTGGTGGTGGTGGCGGTTACCATGATGGAATGTCCGCCATGGGCCAGGCATGGCTTATGTGCTCTACACACATAATCTCATTCAATCCTCCCCAGAGTCATCTGAAGTGAAGGTCAAAGTTACTTGGGTTGCGGCCTGGCTCTGCTGCTCCTCATGGGCTGTGTGACATGGGGCAAGCTACTCACCTCTCTGTTCCTCTGTTTTCTCATCTATAAAATGGGGATGATGACAGTCCCCGCCCCCCCCATCATAGAATTGTGAGAATTAGTTACTAAACATCAAGGGCTTCGGGCGGCACCTGGTATGGAGCAGTCTCTAAGTATCATCGTTGATAGGACTGTGTCCATCCTACAGGTGAAGAAACAGACTCCAAGAAGTTAAATAACTTTCCCCAAGTCCGACGGCCGCTAAGTCATGGCGCCAGGACTGAGCCAACACGCTCATTCTCCTTTCCCTTGTTGGCCCACGGTATGAGCACCTAGGATTGCGGAATCACGACATCTCCAAGCTGGAAGGGACCATAGAGCTAACCCGGTTCCTTTCCCCTCACAAGACAGGAATCCTTCCACAAAGGGTGAGGTAGTTCAGTCTCTGAAAGAACTCTGAAGGGACAGGATTCTCAGAGAGTGGGGACCAGACCTCCCTGTTCACCATTGTGTCCCCATGCCCAGTCCACACTAGACCCCAAAGAAATACTTGATGAACGTGTGAACAGATGAACTAGCGGCTCTCCCCCTCCCCCAAGGTGGTCCGGTCAGAGAGGCCCAAGAATCCTTCATTTGAGGGTGCCTGAGGCTGTGCTATGCACCCTGTGCCTGTCCGCCCAACCGCCTCCTCTGGGAACCCCAACACGGCACATCCATTCACATAACCCCAAGACACTGCTGCCTTTGCCTCTGGCGGCCCCAGTTCGTCCTCCATCCTCTAAGGAAGCTCTGCAGGGGAGGACCCGGCCCTGAGTTTCCTGGGGCAGGTCAAACTGGAAGCACATCTGCCCAACGGGCATGAGGCAGCCGACGCAGGTGAGTCACGGCCATGGGCACGCAGTGCTGAAGGAGGGGGTGGTGCCAGGCAGCATGGACACCTTCCTCCCTTGTCACTCCTTCTGGCACAGCCGCTGTGCCCCCTCCTCCAAATCTCCTTCCTACTTCTCACTGCCCACCCACCGCCAACCAGGCTTTAGCTACCAGTGCCTAGCTGGGCTGGGCCTACTCCAGACTTGGTTCCCTCCCATGACCAGCCCCTCACCCCTTCTTAGCTAATGCTCTGGGACCAACCCCATCTCTGCTTCCAACTAAGTTCACTCCAGTTTTTAAAGTCTTAGTCTGGGATACTGGTTCTCAACTGGGAGTGATTCCCACCCCCCCAGGGCACGTTTGGCAATGTCTGGAGACATTTTTGGCTGTCACAAGTGGGTGTGTGCCACAGGCATCTGGTGAGTAGAAGGCAAGGCCACTGCTCAGCATCTCGCAGTGCACAGGACAGCCTCCGCAACGGGAAATTATCAGGTCAGTAGTGCTGAGGTTTCGAAACCCAGTCTGAGGAGAGGGTGGGAGACCGGTGACAAGGGAATGGTGACACAGTTCTGCCTTCTCTCCTCCCTGTCCCCTGACGACCTGCATCCTCAGCTCAGCCTTGGAACTGGGTCCCCTGGAGACTCCCCAAAAAGCTAAGCAGCCAGCTCCCCCGTCGTTCCCAGAGCCCAGTTCCTAAAACCCTGCCTAAACTCTCCTTTTCTTCCTGGGAGAGAGAGAAGGTGGGGCCTTACCTCCAGCCACTGGCTTTAAGGATATGATCATGGCACACAATAGAGCCATATCTTGTGGGCTCTGAATGGCGGGAGGAAACCAGATCCTTCCTCTTTAAGGGGCAGACAGCTAAAAGCATAAGACCCTTGACCATGAATGGGTTTGAATGCTGGCATTGACACTTAGTTATGGTGTGACCTGAGCAAATGGCTTGCCCTCTCTGTGCCAGTTTCCTCATCCATCAAATGAGATGAAGCTGACAACAAACTTAGCTCATAGGTTGTTGTGAAGGTTAAATTAGAGCATTAAAGTTCAAGGGTTAAATTCAAGAAGTTTGCCACGCTTAGAACAGTGTCTGGCACATAGGAAGTGCTACATAAACATAAATGATTTCTAAAGAAATGATTGATGCTCTTTGCAGAGCTCATAAGCTGGGGAGCAGGGCTGGGGGTACACACCTCTTCCTATTCTTGTGTACCCAGCCTGCAGGGTCCTCCAATGTGCCCAAGCCCCCATGACACCAGCACCCTCGAAGGCCCTGGACCAGAGCTCAACCACTGCAAGTCCCCTGGCTTGGGGGAGGGCAGCCGTGCCAGGCCTGAGCCCCGAGGAAGCCCTGCACAGCTGGAGACCCCTAGGCCTCGGAGGGCTCTTACCCATAAATGTCCACGAGGGTCTCCACACCAGCCACACACACGGCGCTGGTGGCATGCTCCAGGGACACACGCACGATCCTCTGCAGTGACATGCTGGCCTTGGACTGGGCTTGGGCCACCAAACCCAAGACTGCCCCGCACATCCCTTGACGTGTGGTTTAAAAAGACCCCAGCCCCGCCTTTCCAGCCCGGGGTGCTAGCTCATTGGCTCCAGTCCTGGAAGCCCAGCCCCTTCCCAGAGCCGGGAGCTCAGGATTGGCCGGAAGTAAGCCATCATTTGCATGTGAACCTGTTGCTCCGCCCCCAGCACAGAGGGAGTTAGATTCTCCAAGGGAGCAAGTCCCCACAGGCACCTGGCTGGGGCATCAGGGCTTTGGGGGCGTGGCGGAGGCAAAGATGTGGGGTATTGACCTGGGCGCCTTCCTCACTTTCCACACTCCTCCTCACCCCCTTTCCTGCATTTTCAGAGATGATATAGTTTAGTGGGGAGCTTCCCTGCTGGGGGAGCTGGTGAAAGTGCAGATTCCCAGGCCCCACCTCCAATCTGACGCAGCCGGTTAGAGGGTGCCACCTGGCATGTGGATTTTTTTTTTATAAGCGCCCCAAAGTATTTTGAGAAACTTTGAGAAACACCAGCCTTTCTCTTAAGAGCATGGAGTGTAGAAGCAGGACTGGATTCAGCCCAGCCTCAACCACATCCAGGCTGTGTGGCTGTGGACGAGCCACTCCATTGCTCTGTGCCTCATGTGGCGCTTCCGAAAATGCTGTTGCAGGGCTTACATGGGACGACGTGGGCAGAGCTCTAGCGTGGAGCTCGGCATTATTCTATTGCTGGCGTTATCATTATTATCACATGGCAAAACCTGTGGAAGGGATGGGTGGTTCGAGTTAAACCCTCTCTGGCCAGGAAGAGCTTAGAACGTCGGGGTAGGAAGGCTCATTTGTCAGGTGGGGAAACGGAGGCCAGAGGGGGCATTCAGCCACCTGAAGCAAGAGGAGCAAGGGCTCTGGGGAGAGGGGTCTTGGGTTCAGATCCCGACTCCACTGTGCACCAGCTATGTGGCCTTGGGTGGTTCTGTTCCCTCTCTCTGAGCCTTGGTTTGCTCATCTGTAGAAAATGTGGCTCATCACCAGCCCAGCAGAGATAATGGCGGGGACACACCCTACCCAGCCAGCCTCTAAAGGTGCTGAATAGAAGCTTCCTCCCTTCTCTCTGGGGATGCTGCCTGTCTGAGGCAGGTAGGGGACTGGGAGCTGTTCCCCAGAGTCCCCAGTGTGTGTACTCCCAGCAGTTCAAGGACCTCAGCAGGACTCTGAGACTGGTGCTCTTCTATCCCAGAGTCTGGGAAGGATGTTCTCAAGGAGAGCTGCTGGGCTGCTGGATTCCATGACAGTCTTTACTTTTTTGGCTAGAAAATGGCTTGATGGCCAACTCAGCTCTGGGTAAGAGTCAGGACTCAGAAGGAAGCCCCAAATAGTCTCCCTACCTGCTTATGAGCACAGCTGGGGAATCGGTGCGGAAAGTGGGGGCTTCCCCCTGGACACTGGCCTCCTGCACTGGGGGCAGGACGAGCTTCCAGCTTAGAGCCCTGCATCTCCCTTTGCAATTAGACCCAGGTCTTCACCTCTCCCTGGTTAATACCAGAAACACATCGGTGGTTCATTCAGACTAAAGTGTCAATGACTGATAGGCAGCAACTTTTTGCCTTTTAGTCCACAAAAAAGGTAAATAAAGTGAATAAGTGAGTGAGTGTCAAAGGGCACAATCCAAGGCAGAACCAGTGTGTAGGATGAGAGGGGTATTACTTCCAGGCTCCTGAAATCAGAACACTGAGGCTGGGGAACCTGGTAGCTTTAGAGGTAGGAATGAAAGGGAATCATCTGCTGGCCCTGGGCACAAGTCCCACTGGAGAATCTCCTACCTCTGCCAATAGGGCCCAGCCCACCTGCATCTGAGAGATGGAAGAGATAGATAGCCCCGGGAAGGAAGTGGTAGGACCTACCTATCCCCTGATATCCATCTCAGCGGGGCAGAGCTATGCGCCTGTGCCAGCCATCCTGCTGAATCAGCCTGCCTGCCTGCCAGGCACTGGCCCTGGGGGCTCTCCCAGCCAGGTAGGAGCTGCCCATGGCCGGCAGAAGTTGAGCCAAGGAGCTGGGGCATGGTGGGTGGAACTGGAAGGAGGGCCCCCCTCACTCCTCCCTCCTCCCTCCAGCCCAACAAACAGAAGCTGAGGAGGCAGCCACTTGAAGAAATGCATGTTGACATTTTTATTAATCAAGTAGGAGGTGATCAGTCACCCGGAACATCCTCAGAGGGGACATCAGGGCCCTCTGACAACTCTAGCAGCAATTCCAGAGCTTCCCACACTCAGGGCAGCTCTAGACGGCCTGCTCCCCACCCTCCTTCTCCCTCTGCAACGCCCATTGCCCTCCCCCGATAGCCTTTCCCTGGGGAATCTCAACACCGGCTGCAGGCCCTTGGCCCCGGAAGAGCTTCCCTTCTCGCCTTGGCTCGGTCTAGGCTGGGTCATAGTTATGAGCAGAAAGTGCAAAGTTTAGACCAGGGGCTTGCAAATGGGGTCCCCAGAGTCTTCTGAAAGAGGAGAGCCCAGACACACAACCCTTGCCATCTTAAACCGGAGCAGTTCTGTTTCATCTGCTTCAGATGTCCGTTTTCCATGGAAGTTTCTGATTGCTAAGTGTTCCATGGTTCACAGAGTTTAACAGTGGCTGGCTGGCCCAGTCGCCGTCGTACCAGGGGCCACTGAGAACCCCGCTGGTGGAGGCCCGGGGCTGAGAGCCACCTGGATGGCCCCAGAGGCAGTGGCAGGGAGGGGGCAGGCTGGCTCCCCTGTTCCCGTGCCTGCCTGAGGCAGAGACCACCTCTCGCCCGGCACTGGCCAAGCCTGCCTGCCCGTGCACATCCCGGTGGCCTCCCCCGGGGCCAGCCTTAACCAGTCCCCAGCCCCCCTGGCAGCTCTCTTCTCCCCTCTGGAGGGGGGGGGCAGGAGGGGGATAGGCCTGGCACGGGGTTGACTCAACAGGGGAAACCCAGGCTGCGTGCAGGGTCTCCAGGCTGCCGAGAGGGACTGGGCGAGCCTTCCCTTCCACTGCCTGCAGGGCCAAGGGGAATAATTAAAGACAATTAAAGGAAATTAAACCCCACCTTCAGAGATAACCTAATGGCCCCCCCCACCCTCTCCTAACATCTGGGCCCCTGCCCCCTGTGACATCTGGAACGGCCAGCCCCCGCTTCGCATCCAGAGTCCAAAATCCAAAGTGGGGACATAGGACACGGAGGGCAAGCCTCACGGCTCGTCCTCAGGCCTCGGCTTCCTGCGCCACCCTGGCCTCCTGCCAGCCTGCCTCTGTGTGCCCCCCTGAGGCCTCTCTCTGGCCTCACAGCGTTTGGGGGCCGGAAGCAGCCAGTACTCATAATTAAAGGCTTTCTAACCAGGTAACAAGCACCCTGCTGAGGATGGAGTCAGGTATTAAAGGGGTTTTGTTGCCTTTTCTTTTTAAAACAGGCCCTCAGATGCTGGGTTTTCCTATCCCTACTTGCCTCTATAAATGTGGCTGAGGGGTACCAGGAGGTCACGCTTGAGGGTCGCCTGCAGGAGAGGACAGCTGGTAGAGAAAAGGGGGGTGCCTCACCTCCCTGCTCCTGCTCTTCCGAGAACCACAGGTTCCCTAGGCCCAGGCCCCCACCCGGGAGCCCAGGCCCTCTGGGTCCCATTCCTGGTGCCGACATGAAAGGAATATCAGAAGAGAGGGGAAGCTACTCAAAGTGGGGCGCCTGCCGTGACCATGCACGGCCGGCCGTGAATAGGTTAAGACCATTGCCCTTTTCCAGAACCTCTGGGAGTGTTGGGTCAGGAAGAGGGAGGGAGGAATGAAAACAATCCTCCTCGGGCCAGGGAGGCCACTCCAGAGGTGAGGGTGTGTGATGCCCACCGCCGTATCCCCAGGCCTGCAGTGGCCAGCACGTTTGCAGGCACTCGGGAAGAAGCGCCCGAGGCTCCCCTAAGAGGATGGAGGCCGGGTGGAGGTTCCTTGCCCTCACCCTGGCGGGGCTCCCTGGCAGGTGGGAAGAGGAGACGGCGGGTGGAGGCAGGCTCAGGGCACCATGTGCCACCACTTGAAGGAGAAGGGCTTCCGGCGCACATTGGTGCCACAGTGGATCTCCCCAAGCAGCTCGTGGTAGGACAAATAGTCGTCGATGAAGATACAGTGGAGGCCCAGCGGCTCCAGCAGGGACCGCACCTTCTCCTCCAGGCAGCAGCGGCCGTTGATGATGGGTCCGAAGGGCTTGGGGATGCCCAGGTACTTGCCTAAGACCACCATGTTGACCTGTAGAAGACAGAAGGCAAGAGGGAAGGCTTGCTGCCCCAGGGATCCTCTACACATTTCGGGGGCCCTGTCCCCATTTATGTCCCATCCTCGTCAGCATCCCTGGGCCATGAGGACTGGCACTTGCTCAAAAACTAGGGTCTTTGGTGAGAAGAAATGGATTCGTGGTTGCAAGAGAGGATTAATACCAAGTAGGGCTGACAGGGAACATACATGGCTCCTTTATATGAATGAAAGTATTCCTCCAATACTTTCTTCCATCTATCAGAATATTGTCATATTCTAACAATTTAGTTAGAGCCAGATTTTGCCATCATTTGCCAGAAACTTTGTACAACAAATATCTACAAGGTCCATGGTGTGAATGTCCTTATAGGTGTGGTGCGCTTGCACAGTGCACAGCTTTCTCAACCACCCCTGGAATGCCTGATAAGTGTTACGGTTTATTGAACATCCCATCTGCCAGATACATCATCACTGAACCTCACAGCCTCCCTCTGAGTCAGTGGCTGGGGAAGGTTAAGTAACAGAATCCAGGCCACACAATCAGAGAACAGAGAGACGAGGGCGCCTGGGTGGCTCAGTAGGTTAAGCATCTGCCTTCGGCTCAGGTCGTGATCCCGGGGTCCTGGGATCGAGTCCCACATCGGGCTCCCTGCTCCGCGGGGAGCCTGCTTCTCCCTCTGCCTCTCTCTCTCTGTCTCTCATGAATAAATAAATAAAAACTTTAAAAAGAGAGAGAGAGAGAATGGAGTGACTAAAATTTGATGTGGAGCTAACTCATGACCAGAGTTATGCTCTTTATATTCTACTGGAGTCTGTAGCGGAGTTGGAGGAGGGGGCTAGGAGCCCTTGGGGGCATCTTACTCTCCAGAGGCACTTCTGCTCCCCTGGCTGAGGGCCCTAACCCTGGGGAAGGAAAGTTTCCCCAGGGCAGGGTATGGAAGGGTCTCAGAGAAAACCTCGGTCCCATATCGATGGCCAGAGGAGCTGTCCTTGGTGTTCAAAGGGGACTCTCTGGACCTGCCATCCTGAGGGTGCTGCTGGGTCCTCTCAGCGTGGGGTGGGCTGCCCTGGACTCCGCGCTCTCACATTCTCCATATGCCGTGGCCCCTCATCCTCAAGTCTGCCCTGCAGGGCCAAGCACTGCTGGGACCAACATGAAGCTGGAGGGTCCTCTGGGGTCAGTCCCATGGCCTTGGCCCCGAGCTACCCCATTGCCCACTAAGGGGCCAGAATGTGCTGGGTGGAAGTGGGGCAGGTGGAGGGATAGAGGGCCGGGAGAGGAGAGGAGAACTCAGGAGGCTGGAGGCTCTGCACTTGCTGGGTGACTTCAGGCAAGTCAACCACTCCACTCGGAGGTCCTGTTTCCCCAACTGACAGATGAGGGGGTTAAGTGAGTGTTCCCTATGGGGCTCTTCCAGTTAGGACATCCTGGGCTCCTTTAGCAGGGTCTGGACCAAAGCTTAGAGATTCTCACAGAGGGGTGCGTGTTGGGGTGGGGGCTTCCAAAAGAGGACTGGCCAAAGTCATGGGACTTCAGCCAGAACCAGAGCCTGGGTGCTCCTTAGTGTTTCCCTGACCAATATGGCAGCCACTGGCCACATGTGGCTGTTGAAAATTAAAGTAAAGTAAAAGGTTCATTCCTCAGCCACACTAGCCACATTTTAAGTGCTCAGTAGCCACGTGTGGCTTGGTGGCTCCCATGCTGTGCAGACACAGAACATTTCCATCATCCGAGAAAGTTCTAAGAGACAGCACTGCCTTAGAAGAGTGGTTCTCAGCCAGGGTGGTTTTGCTCCCCGGACATTCTGGTTGGCGAGGTGAGAGGAGTGGTACTTACAGGGGCATCTCGTGGGTAGGAGACAGGGATGCTGCAGCCATCCCACGAAACACAGCCTGGCCCCCACAACAAAGGATTCAGGCCCAAACATCAGTAGAGCCAAGGTCATGAAGCCCTGCCTTAGAGGTCTCTGCCAGGACCCCTCAGTGAGGTGTCAGGTGTGAGTGAAAATCCTGGCGGGGAAGCCCTGCCAAACACACATGCCCCCAGGCAGGCCCTCAGGATTCACTCCAACCCCTTGGCTTGCCCAGTGACAGGGATTCGAGTGAAAGGCCCCGGGCTGAAAAGGGAAGGTCCCCCATCCTGGGGAGTCCCTCCACAAGCTGCCAACACCCCGTCATCCTTTCCCAAGGTGTTAATGGTTCAGCCAGCGCTGTGCTGATAGCATCACCCGGCCCCTCCCAGAGGCCACCCCGGTGAGATCACATCTGGGCATCTGCTTGTCAGCCGCCTGACTTAATGACAGCCAGGGAGGCAGCCACCGCGGGCCCGCCTGCTCGCCTGGGGAGCCACACTGGGGAGCAGCCAGTGGGGGGCCAGGGTGCAGGGCACGGCAGACAGCTGAGGCCCCGAGAAGGAAGCCTGAAACACTGAAACCAAAAGATGCTTCCTTTTTCCACTTGGGAGAAAAAAAAAAAAAACGCCCTTAGTTACGGGGCTGCCCCGTGCACGGAAGGAGGTTCAGCAGCACCCCAGCATGCACCCACGAGATGCCAGTAGGTCCCCCCCATCCTCGTAGCAGTAAGAAAATGCCCTCGGGGGCAAAATCGCCCTGGTTGAGAACCACTGATGGGGATGCTGTACACGTGCACAAAAAGCAAACACACGCTGAAGAGGTCCGCAAGCTTCCCCCCCCGCCCAGGCTCTGTGCCTGGCTGCCCTCGGACGACAGGAAGTGCTTCTCCTCTGGAACCTCAACTGACACCCCTCCGGACCCTGCCGGGCCCCAGGGACAGGAAATGACCTTCTTCTGCGCTCTCACCATGTCAGGGAAGAAGGCTTCTGCATAGGAGCCCTTCAGGGAGAAGAGCTGGGGGATGTCCACGATGTCCCGCTCGGTCAGGCCCAGCTCCCGCTTCAGCACCTCCCGGTTCCAGTCGATGCATTTCTGGGGGCAGGGGGAGAGGCAGCGGGCGCACCCAGGGAGCCAGGGAGCTCTATCACTTGCTGAACACCAACTGCGTGTCAGGCCCTGCGCACAGCCCCCTGCACCCTTGCGCTCCTTCGATCCTCCCAACAGCTGTGGGCCACTGCCTCTCCCAGATAGGGAAACTGAGGCTCAAGGGACCTGCCCAAGGGCACAGAGCTAGGAAGCAGCGGAGCTGGGATTTGGACCCAGTTTCTGTTTCCAAAAGTGCCTGCCCCTACACCGCACTGCCCCAGCCACGGAGTGACCTGTACCCCTATCCACCTCAGCAGGTCAAGCTCCACTCAGGAGAAGGGAAGGGCCTCCTCCATTTACTGAGCACAGCTCCGCACCAGGCCCTGCGCCCTGCCCGAGGCGGGCATTAGCCCCGCCCCTTCCAGAGACCTCTTCCCACCCCTGCCACCCCGCCCCCCCCCCCGCCCCCGCCCGCCTTCTTGTCTGATCCCCTTGACGCCCACCCGCCCCACCCCTCTCCCACACGGGGCCCCATTTCTCCACCACGTCTCCTCTCACTCTGCTTCCCCCAGAAATTCGTCCTTTCCTCAGAGCTAGATCTCCCTCATCAGACTGGGAGCTCCCTGAGGGCACTGCTGTGTCTCCTCCATCAGACTGTGGGTTCCCACGGCAGCGGCCCTACCCACAGGTTTCAGCAGCCCCCAGGACAGTCAGAGGCCCGGGGCTGAGCCCCTGCCCCCTGCCCCAGCAATTCCTGGGGCTGTTTCTCCTGGGAGCTGGGGGAGCCCCCAAGAGCCCTCACCTGTACATAGAGACTGTCCCTCCTGAGACTACGGTCCGCCAGCATCTCATTAATGCTTCTATTCACCTGGTGACTTAACCCTGCGAGGGAACAAAGGCAGGACAGTGGCTCAGGGCGGACTGCCCAGGGCCATCTCGGGCCTGGGGCGGCAGAATCTGGGCCAGGATTTTTCTCCCACCTCAGTGCCAGGGGCTGAAGCTATGACCAGACAGAGAAAGCCAGAGACTGGAGACCCTGCGGGGACCCAGGCTCTGGCTGCAAGGACATCCCGGGGATGGAGCACAGGCTCCTCGGGAAGGGACTCTTGGCTCAGTGCTGTGTAATTACAGGGCAGCTGCCATTACTGAACACCCACCATGCTCTGGCATCCTCCTAAATTTATGCTTAATCTTTAAAACAATGCTGGGTGGGTTAATTATCACCCCCAACTCAGAGAAGAGGAAACTGAGGCACTGAGCGGTTTGGAACGCAATCTTGATTTGAACCCAGGTCTTGAAGCTCTGCCACATCCCTTCCAGGGCTCCATTTCTCAGGTGAGAACACGGAGACCCGTGGTGGAAAGGGAGAGGGGCTCAAGGCGGCCAGCCAGGCCCTTGGATGGTCTGTCAATCCCCAGAGGCAGGTCCACAGAGGGGCCCTGACCACCCATCTGGCTTCTCACCCACCGCCCCACCCCACTCTTGAGCCTCGAGCCCTGCCGCATCCTGGGGATAGCCCTGGATCAGGCACTCCTCTCTGAGCTTCTGGGGAAAGGGATTAAGGGGGAGGGTACAAGATCAGTAGGGTGCACATTGTTTCCGGGGGCTTTCCTCTCCTGGGATGTGGCCAGGAGCCGCCCACTCTTACTGCGGAGGTCACCCCCTGCGTGTGCTTGGGACAATCCACTGGCCTCTTGGCTTCCCTGCCTGGGCCCAAGAAAGGGACAGCCCGACAGCTCCCAGGAGAGGGTGTAGGGAGAATTAGTGATGTCCAGCTCTGAGCGGAGGGATCTGAGCAAGGCAAAGGGCCTATAAATAGAGTATTAGCCATGAAAGGCATCGCTGGAGCCCAGGGCTGGCAGTGAGAGGGCAGGGTCCCCACAGGGGGACTGGGTCATTGGCACTCACCATCAAACTGGGCGGCCTCCCCATACCCCTCCTCTTTCTTCTCTTGGAATAGTCTGAGGCAAGCGCTGGGGCTCGCCAAGAGCAGCCGGAAGCCCTAGCGGAGGGAGGGAGAATTCCTCAGTGGATGGGTTGCAGAAGACCCCAAACTTCAGGAGGGGCCCGAGTTCAGGGGCCAGACCACACGTGGGTCCCACCTACCAGCCATAGAGAACTCTCTGCAATTCCCCTAATCCTCCAAGCTGTTTCACACCCCCGGGCCTCTGTCCAAGACATTCTCTGCCTGGATGCCCTTGTCTACCGGGGAACTCAGCCACTGGTCACTGGTCGGCCTCCCTTCCCAGGCTGCTTGCTCTCTGAGCAAGAGGCCCTCTCTGCAAAGCAGTGGAGCTGAGTGGTTAAATGTTGGTCCCGAGTCCTCTGTCTGGGTTTGAATCTTACCTGTAATTGCCCTTCTGGACCTCAGTTTTCCTACCCATAAAATGGGGACAATGATAATAGTACCCACCTCATGGAATTGTTGGAAGATTAAATGAATTAAAACACATGCACATCGTAGGTGCTCGCTAAATGTTACCAATTATTATTATCTGTGTCATTCCTGGGTCTAGGCTGAGAGGTTTGGATCAAAGCAAACACCCAGCAAGTGTGAGAATGAGCATATGAGTAGCAGAGCCAATCAGTACCCTCCTGACCTGAGCTCTGACCTCTTCCAGGAAGCCCCCCCCCCGATTAACACCATCTGGTTCCCAGAGTGCCCTGACTCTGAGCTCCCTACGGACACAGGCAGTGAGCTGGTTCCAGGTGGCTTTGCTCTAACCATTCCCATCAGGTTGGGGAGGGGCAGGGGTGGCTCAGGCAGGAGGAGAGGGGACACACCTTTTGGTCAGAGGTGGGCACAAAGCTCAGGAACTCATCCACGTGGCCCACAGAGAGCCAATCGGAGTAGAGCTCCACAGGCGCCTGCACCTGCTGGGCCTGCAGGAAGTCCCGTACGACCTTGGCCATTCGCCTCCCACCGGACCTGGCCCAGGAGGGAGAGAACAGGATCACTTCATGCCTACTGTCAGCTGGCATCCCACCCCTGTCCAGGCCTCACGACATCCCTCTGAACAGGTCTCCTTTTGTCCCCACTTCCTGGCCCCAGCCCCCAGGCACCTCCAGGAACTCACTGTCCATCCTGACTATCATCCCAACGAGTCCATCCCCTCCTCACGCAAAGCATCCGCCCCCCAGGCCGGGAAGGCCCTGCTTGCTCCTCCTCGCTAAAAAGAGTCAAACAAGAGAGCTCCACTTGCCAAAGGGAACTAAAGACGCTCACCTCACATCCCGGGACTCAGAGAGGTTAAATCTCTACCGAAGATGCCCAGCCTCGGGTTCCAAATACGACCAGGAGCTGGCCAGCCCGTCCCTCAGCCCAGTGTTTCCCGAAGTGTGGGGCCTGGACCACCTGGGGGTCAGACTCTGGTGGGGGCAGGTGCTTATTTAAACACAGGGCTCCTGGGCCCTGACCTCCTCCACATCTCAGAGTCTTTGAGAACGTGGCATCTCTGAGGATGTGGGATCTGCATTTCAACAAGCGCCTCGGCTGATTGGTGCACCAGAGAACCACTGCCTCAGTCACCTCGTGCTCAACACAGACTGTCTAATCCTCAGCAGGTCCTGAAATGAGCGCTGGGCATTTTCAAACCACCCTGTACTAGCAGAGGGAGGGGCTGAGGTGGCCCAAACTAGGGAGCAGGTCTCGGGAGCTGGAGTCCCAGAGCTGTGGAAGGAGACCTTACCATCAGCTGCCTATGCCTTCGGGGATTTCGACACTGTCTCAGGCACGGCCATGGCCCTATTTCACAGATGGGGCAGCTGAGGCCTAGCAAGTTCAATGGGGGCGGGGGGGGACTTGTCCAAAGTCAGACGATGTCTTATATACTCTGGGCACTTTCCACCTTTCCCTAGCATGGGTAACCATGTGCAAACACACAGAGAGAAAGAGACTTCTTTTTTCAATATGTTATACAAAAAAGGATCACATTTCTTGACTTTGTTTGCCTGGCTTAAGGATGTATCATGGACAAGCTCCCCAGCTGGCATAGAATCTGGTGCTTCTACCTTAAGCAGAACACAATCCAGCCCTTTCCTCCTCCTCTTCTGCCACCATCTGGCCCGCACACCTCCCTCATCTAAATAATTCTAGCGGCAGGGGCACCTGGGTGGCTTAGTCAGTTAAACCTCTTGCCTTCAGCTCAGGTCATGATCCCGGAGTCCTGGGATCAGTGGGCTCCCTGCTCAACAGGAAGTCTGCTTTTCACTTTGCCCCTCCCCCCCACCCTCTCTCTCTCTCTCTCAAATAAATAAAATCTCAAAAAAGAGAGAGAGAGGGCGCCTGGGTGGCTCAGATGGTTGAGCGTCTGCCTTCGGCTCGGGTCATGATCCCGGGGTCCTGGGATCGAGTCCCACATCGGGCTCCCTGCTCCTTGGGAGCCTGCTTCTCCCTCTGCTTCTCTCTCTCTGTCTCTCATGAATAGATAAAATCTTAAAAAAAAAAAAAGCCACCAGCTTAAAAAAGAAAAAAAAAAAGAGAGAGAGAAAGAGGGAGGGAAGGAGAAAGAAAGA